CAAAGAATAAAAATGACCTAAATATTAACTACCTGATAAACGGGTAAATTAAATGTGGTATCCATTCAAAAGAGTATTATTTGGCAGTTAAAAGGAATGATGTGCACATACGTACTACATGGATGGCCCCTGAAAACATTACGCTAAGTGAAAGAAGTCAGTTATAAAAGGTCACATAGTATATGATTCCATTTAAATGAAATGTCCAGAATAGGAGAAACTATAAACACAGAAAGTAGGTTAGTAGTTGCCTAGGGAAAGGGAGAGGGAGCAGAAATAGGAAGGGAGGGGGGTCATGGAGCATTGGGGGAGTGATAGCTAAAGGGTACAGGATTTCTATTTTTGGAGTGATGAAAATAGGTTGTGGTGATGGCTGTACAACCCTGTCAATATACTAAAAACCACTGAACCGTACTCTTTAAATTGGTGAATGTTGTGGTATATGAATTATATCTCCATGAAGCTGGTATCTAAATAAATAAATAAATGTACTTAACACTCCAAACAAAAGATAGATTGTCAGACTAGGTACAAAAGCAAGAACCATGCTATCTATAAGACACGCACTATAAACACAAAAATACAAACAGGTTGCAAGTAAAAAGATGAATAAAGATATGCCACAAAGAGTAACCAAAAGAAACTGGAGTAGCTATATATACTATCAGACAATGAGACTTCGTTATCCCCTGCTGCTGTAACAGAAATACCACAAGTGGATGGCTTTATCAAACAGAAGTTTATTTTCTCAGTCTAGAAGGCTAGAAGTCTGAATTCAGGGCACCAGCTCCAGGGGAAGGCTTTCTCTGTCGGCTCTGGCGGAAGGTCCTTGTCATCAATCTTCCTCTGGTCGAGGAGCTTCCCATTGCAGGAACCTCAGGCCCAAAGGATGCACTCTGCTCCTGGCACTGCTTTCTTGGTGGCATGAGGTCCCCCATCTCTCTGCTCACTTCTCTCTTTTATATCTCAAAAGAGAGTCACTTAAGACACAATGTAACCTTCTAGATTGAGTCCTGCCTCATTAACATAACTGTCACTAATCCTACCTTATTAACACCATAGAGAAAGGATTTACAACACATAGGAAAATCACAACAGACGACAAAATGGTGGACAATCACAGAATACTGGGAATCATGGCCTAGTCAAGTTGACAGATATTTTTGGTGGACACATTCAATCCATGACAGACTTCAAGACCAGAAATACTACTAAAGACAGAAAATGATACTTCTATAATGATAAAAGAGTCAACACATCAGGAATACATAAAAATCATAAATGTATATGCACTCAACAGAGCCCAAAAATAGAAGAAGTAAAAACTGACAGAACTGAACGAGAAATAAACAAATTTACAATTGGAGATTTTAATATACCTTCCTCAACTGATAGAAGTAGGAAAAAAAAAAATCATAAAGATACAGAAAATAAGAACACAATCACCCACCTTAACCTAATTTACATTTACAAAACACTACACCCAACATTGAGAATGCATAGTCTTTTCAAGTGCACATAGAATGTTCACCAAGATAAAAACCATTCTAGGGCATAAAACAAGTTAAAAAGACTAAAATTTTATAAAGTATGTTCTCTAATCACAGTAAAATTAAATTATAAATCAGTAATAGATATTTAGAAAAGCTCCAAATATTTGGAAATTAAATAACATACTTTTACCCAAAGGTCAATGAAGAAACCACAAAATTATCAAAATTCATGTAATGGAACTAAAGCAGGATTTATATAGCTTTAAATGCTCACATTAGAAAATGGCTTAAAAATTGGTGATCTAACTTCTACTTTAAGAAACTAAAAAATGAGCAAATTAAACCCAAAGATGTAGGAAAAGGAAAATTATAAAGAATAGAAATCAATAAAAACAGATTTCAAAAGCCAAAAGTTTGTTTTTGAACTGATTACCAAAATTGATAAACTGTTCAGCAAGACTGAAAGAAAAAAATAATAAAGAACACAAACTACCAACATAATTATAGAATGAAAGAGGCATATCCCCTACACACTGAAGACATCAAAAGAATAATGAAATATATAAACAACTTTATGGAAACAAATGACATTTAGGTGAAATGGACAAATTCCTTGAGAAACAAAACAAAACTGATAAGGCAAAACACAAAATGGATAGTCAGATAATCTATTGAGGAAATGGAATTTGTTACCAGAAACCTACCCACAAAGCAAATCCCAAGCCCTGATGGTTTCAGTACTGAATTCTAGCAAGCATTTGAGGAAGAAACAATACCAGTCTTACACAGTCTTTCAGAAAACAGAGGAGAAACAAACACTTCCAAACTTATTTTGAGGCCACCATAACCCTGATACCAAAACCTAACAAAGACATTATAAGCAAATTATAGAACAATCTCTCTCATGAACAGAAGCAAAAATCTTTAACAAAATATTAGCAAACAGAATTCAGCTGTGTATAAGAACAACAATACATCATGACCAAGCAGAATTAATCCCAGGAATACAAGGTTGGTTTAACATTTAAAAACCAACCAACATAATTCATCATATTCACAGAATAAAAAAGAAAAAACGTATGATTTTCTCATAAGATGCAAAATAAGATTTGACGATTAAATACTCATTTATGATTAAAGAAAACAAAAACAAAAACACTTTCAGCAAACTAAGAACAGAAAAGAATTTCCTCACTCTGATAAACGGTATCCACAGAAAACTGAACATTTAATATTGAAACACTGAACAACCCCCCCACCCCAAGACTGGAAAAGCAAAGGCGTTCACTCTCAGCACATCTATTCAACATTTTACTGAGGAACATGGTTAGTACAAGAATAAGAAAGACAAAAAAATTGAAAGAAGTAAAACTGTTTCTATGTGTAGATGTGATTATTAATGTAGAAAATGCAAAAGAATCAACAAAAAAAGGCTATCAATAATGAGTAAATTTAGTAAGCTCTCAGGATACAAAGTCAATACATAAAATTTTATCATATTTCTGTGTATTAGCAGAGAACAATTAGAAATAAAATTTTAAAACAATTCCATTTACAATTATATCATACAACATAAAATATCTAGTAGTAAACGTACAAATGTCATACAAGACTTCTACGATGAAAACTACAAAACGTTGCTGAGAGAAATTAAAGATAACCTAAGGAATTGGAGAGGTATACCACGTTCATGATGGAAGTTTCGAGACTGTTAAAATCTCACTTCTCCCCAGAGTAATCTATAAATTCAATACAATTACTATCATAATCCAGCATGGTCATAATCCTTTTTACAGAAATTGATAAATTTATTCTAAATTTCATATGGAAACACGGGACCTAGAGTAGACAAAACAATCTTGGTCAAATAACAAAAGCTAGAGGATTTATAATAACTGTTATACTAACTGACTTCAGGATGTACTACAAAGCTATACAGTGGCTCTCAATTTGGGGCAATTTTGTCCCCCAGGGTACTGCCACATCTTTCTCCTGCAGAACGGCTATGAGTCTGAACCGCAGACGTTTTGGTTAGCAGCCAAGCACTTATCCACTGCATCACCAGGGCTCCTTAACAACCGCAGTAGGGAGAAAAAAGTTAAAGACAGCTAACACTTCTTTAGCTCCTACTACACGAGCAAGGTTAAGCACTCACCTGCTAACCAAAAGGTTGGTGGTTGGAACACAGACCTGGCGATGTACTCCTGTAAAGATTTCAGCCAAGAAAACCTTATGGAGCACAGTTCTACTCTGTCACATTGACTCAGTGACAACCAACAACACGTGCCTGGCAGTATGCTACCTACTTTAAATACATTTTTTTTTCTTGTTGGCTGCTGTTGAGTTGGCCCCCCAACTCATGGTGACCCCATGTGTTACACTACCCAACTGAAATCTCAAAATAGAATTTAGCATCTAAAATTTTAATCTCATTTATTACTTCTCTACTTCGCTAGAATTTACTTTCTATGGCAACAAGGATCTTATTTTGTTTACTATTTCTCACACGTGGCACACAGAAGATAGCACTTGGTACTTAGTAAATACTTCTAAATCAAAGAATTAAGGAACAGAATATCAGAGCTCAGAAGTACCCTGTAGAGCTTTCTTTTTGGTAGAGCAAATTAATTCCCGCTATAGCTATATCCAGCTTATTTTACCTTAAAATTTTGCTAGCATCCATAGCAATTACTGTTATGTAATTATCTCAAGAAGTGGAATAGAAGGATGTTTGAGAACTTCACACTTTCCCTTTATTCAAAAATGAAAATATAAAAATATTTTAAAATAGTAAAATCAATTTGCTCGCATATTTTAACAAATCTTTAAACGATGTGTGATTTTTGTATGTCGTGTTACTTTTTCTGCTCATATTCATATGGATAAAAAAGAAAAACCTAAAGCTTTTTGGATAGTCTCAAATTCGGTTAACATCACCATAAAGCTGAAAAACCCTAAGAAGCAAATATTGAGAATTGAGAGTTCCTTACAGAGGGGTAAACTGCAGAGCTAGTAATAGACTTGTAATAAAAACAATGATCAATTTTACTTCAAAGAAATGTATCTAACAAACTAAGCATCTACATAAGTTTAAGATCAAAATGTTAAGACCAAGATATTTCCTCATTAGGTAAGCAAAATACCCAGCCCAAGAAGTTGGTAATTGCAGTATTTTTCTGACAACTAAAAAAACTTTGAAAAAAGACTTTCTAAGATTCTAAGGGAGAAGGCTAGAGAGAAGTAAACGTTCAGAGAAGCAGAGAAATGAAATCACTCACAAAGAATGACATATAAACTTTATTATTTAAAAAACATTTCACAAATGTCTTACATATACTGTCTGCATAGATTCAAGTCCAAGTACTTCCAGATACCATTTGGTAATATTTACAGATTATACATAACTTAAAAAACGTTTAATTCAGATGTGCCAACTGTAGCAAAGGGCTTAAAAATAGAGGTTTCAAAGTCAATACTCATTCAGAGACATCAGTAAATAGATCTGACCTTTTCAAGTGGCTTTCCCAAAGAGTTTCCAATCAGTTTCCAGTCATTCAAGACTTCTTCAACTTTTGAAATAAACCTAGGAGGGGGAAAAAGCTTTCTAATTATGTAACACAACACATCTTTTCCTACTGTTATACAATTTCTTATAAAAGGAATTATTTTATTTAAACATTTTGATCAGAGAAGGCTCAGTAAGTTTAGCACTGTTAGCCAACTTATGGATGTGGAATAAAAGCAGAAACAATCTTCTTCAGTCCAAGAACTCTCAGATTTTTGACTTAAGTCTATTGCTTATCTAACATTCTGCCTTCTATAAAATATAAACTGAGTATAAATAAAATCTCTCTGAGATTAAAATTAATACAATAAATTTGGCAAAAAAGTAAAAACTGACAGTCTAAAATGATACTGTTAAAGATAATTATGAAACCAATAAACCTCCCACCCTCAAAATAATTGACCTACTCAAATGAACTTTTCCATTAAATATATTTAGGAACTCCCTGATGTCCTCTCTCTTCCAAAAAAAGAAATAAATAAAATTATTTGGGAACTTTGCTCATTCAAAATAAATAAATAAATAAAATTATTTGGGAACTTTGCTCATTAAAATAAAATAAATTCAAATATTAAAATAAAACAAGCTTTAAGGGACTGCTGACAAGTAGATTTGTCAGCGATAATGAACAATAACAAACATTTAAGAACTATTCACTAATCCCTAAATCTAATAATCAAGCTGACCTATTAAAGAGAACTGAATTTTGACTAGTACCATGCTCAACATCAACAAAAGAAAACTGCCAAATCTCAGTGGTAGTGGTAAATACATACTATAAAACACTTCGAGACTTGTTATTACTCTAAGAAGCTGACTTCTTACATAAGATAACAAGTATGATGCGATCTAATAACAACACTGCTTTACTAAAACACCTAGGTAGTACTGATAGAATATTTGAAAATTATATTCAAAGGCATTAGATTTTTCCTTCAGTGACATTATAAATTAATATCTACATTTCTGCAGTAAAATAGTAATGACAGTAATGATAAATTAGAGTTTATGATTCAATTGAACCTTCTAATTAATTCCTCATTAAAATTAAAGGTGGTATTAATACACCAATTCACTTTTTTGGGGGGCTCAATCAAATGCAATTATCAGTGTTGAAATTGGGTGCCCTAGAAACAAGTTAACATGTTTAGAAAAGAGAAATAAAAATTTTAAAATATATAGTATGTGAGCAAAAATTTGCACGTGAAATGTACACTGCATTTATAAAGGTTTAAAAACTAGAAGCTACTTTAATGTTAGAAATGCAGCAAAGAGTTGTAAATTAAAGGTATATCCATTCAATGAATTATATGCCCCCATTAAAAACCGTATTTTGAACAATATTCTACAATGAGGTATTACTACTATAATAATTTAAAATAATATAGCTTTCACATTAAAAGAATATCTTTAAATACATAGTATGAATTCTAACAGTACTAGCTAAAAGAGAAAATTTGAACTGTATTCTGTAAGTATGGAAATTTGATGAAAAATTTAATAACTTTTCCCCTAAAAGCTCTCCAGATCTTAGTTGAAGGGTCATTTCCTCTAACTTCTTATTCTGTATTAGGTTCCTCTGTTATATGCTCTTATAAGATCCAGTTTCTTTCCCTTCCAAGCTGTTGTTTCAATTTGTAATTAGACTCATTTGTATCATTATTTGGTTCATGTCTGTCTCTTCCACTGGACTGTACACATAGGAGCAAGAACCATCTCTGTTTTTACTAACCAGCACATCCCTAGCATCCTGATTGTGCTCGACACATAGGCATTCAATAAATATTTCAGTGTGTAAATAATAAAGAGTTATGGACCTTAAACCAAAAATATCCCCTGAAGTCTTCTTTAAACCAAACAATAGGTCAGCTTAATTAGTAAAGAATGAGTGCCTTGAGCACTGTGCTCTTTTAAAGATCTACACGGAATCAAATCAACAATAGCAACTCAAAAGGTTAGATAGGAAGCTTAGGGGGCAGTGAGTGAGTTTATATTAATGGAGGAGGAACAATCCAGGGGGAAAAAAGAGGATGAGAACGGCTGCACAACTTGAAGAATGTAATTAATGTCACTGAATTGTATGTGTAGAAATTGCCGAATTGGTGTATGTTCTGCTATATATATTTTAACAAAAAATAAGTTAATATTATTTTTTAAATGTATCTTCTGGCTTTTATTATTGAAGCTCCAGGGCTCAGGTGGGGCAGTCAGGCTCACTGACAGCCATGCCTTCCCATAGGAAGACCTAAGATCATCATGAGCATAAATGATAGAAATTGAGAATTCAGAAAATGGTGGCAACAGCGTTTGGACCAAAGCACCGGCCCAATAGAAAATTTGCAGAGAAAATAGCTTTGAATTTGTACGTGTAAGAGGCTTCCTAAATGTGAAAACTTTGTTAAAGTATGTCGCACAACACGAAAAAAAAAAAAAAGCTGTGGACTTTTACTTAGTTCTCTTAGTAAACTGTCGTATGGCTCATGACATATTGATGAGAACTTTCATTCAAACATAAAGTTCAAGGTAAGAGACCCCACAGTCTTAACATTTTTTCTCGTGAACTGTAAAACATTAGTTTCACTCTAAAAATAAGAGTATAAAAGTCAAAAAAACAGATTTCTGACTTTGTGACAGTTCTGGTAACTGTGTAAACAATAATTTCTGTATGAGGAGCTAAAGGATTTAATATTCTACTTCAGAATAATTTAAATATTTAGCTAAAGGAAAGTGACCATTTTCCATTAAATACCCTGATATTTCCTGCATCACCAACCTCCAAGACTCCAGTTACCTTCTTCTGACTACCTTCAAGACACTGAGGTATTATTTCAAACTTAACAGTCTAAAATGAACTCTCTTTGCCACTTACTTATCTTCATTCTTTCAGGCAAGAAACTGCAGCTCCATGTTTGATTCTTCCCACTCTTTCATCCAGCTTATCTATTTAAAGTTTCTTTGAAATGTCTTATAATCCTTTTACCCTCCCTTTCTCTCCAGTCCCCAAATCACCATCATAAATACGGGCCAAAGTAAGTTACCTGCCTTCATGTTACCTCGTCTCCTTATATATCACTTAAAAGAAAAAAAAATCCCAACCCTATAGGAAAGGCTAGAACTGCCCCTCAGGGTTTCCAAGGAGCAGCTGGTGGATTCAAACTGCAGACCTTTTGGTTAGCAGTCAAGCTCCATCACTTAGCCACTCTAAAATCTACCGTGGGCCTCACAGTATCATCCACAGCAGTGGTTCTTTGTAAGGGAGGCCTCCTGACAGCATCAGGGAACTTGTTAGAAATGCAAATTTTTGGGTCCCACCTCAAAACTAGTGATTCAGATGCTCTGAGGGTGGGGCTTAGCAATGCGTGATTCTTATGTACACTAAAGTCTGAGACTCACTGGCCTAAAGCCCCAAATCTAGATTCCTTTTACTTAGCTCTGGAGGCTGCCCATAACCTAGTCCCATCATCCTTATTAACCTGATTTCTTATTTACCTTCAACTGATAAGTCTTCACTCCAGTAAAGGCTTTTTTTTTTTTTAAATTATGCTTTAGATGAAGGTTTACACAGCAAACTAGTTTCTCATTAAATAATTAATATACATATTGTTTTGTGACATTGGTTACCAACCCCAGGATGTGTCAACATTCTCCACTTCTCAACTTTGGGTTACCCATTACCAGCTTTCCTGTCCCCTCCTGCCTTCTCGTCCTTGCCCCTACGGGCTCTCTGCTCATGTCACTCCCTTCTCATGTCTAACCAACCACTTTCCATTTTCAAGGCCTAGTTCATTTCCTAGCTTTTCTATGAAAATATCTCCAACAACTGTAATTTATACAATCTCATCCTTATTTAGACTTCTACTATTTTTATAATTAGTATCACTTGGCTTACAACTTAGTTATTTGCTGATAAGTTTTTTCACCTTTAAACATACGGATCAAATTGTGTTTTCCCCCCTTAATGTAGTTCTGGCACAGTACGTGCTCAACAAAGCCTTGCCAGTGTGGCTATGTCTTACTGAGTTTTCTTTTTTGGTGCGAGTGGGGTACTAAGGATCTTTTATATTTTCCTATGCCATCTAATGACATGACGTCCACAAATTTCCTCTCCCATATCAGAAAGATTATAAAGTGTTTCCACAAGCTAAATACAAACTTCCAGATCCAGAAAACCAAAGGGTTTCTGTGACACCAAACAGGAAAGTTTCTCCACCTAAGACATCACTTCCCCTACAAACCCAGCTTGCAATTAATTTCAGTGATACAAGTTTCACCCAGACATCTGTTTAATGGAGTTTGATAGGCAGAGGAAGCCTGTGAACTTAGCTACTGAAATATAACAACTTGAAATAAAGCATTCCAAAGCCATATGCGGTTTTTGTTTGTTTTGTTTTTTTTTTTAAGTCATTTTAAAAGATGGAGATGGTAGGAGTGTGGCAGATGGGCAATCACCAATACTCTAAAGAAAGGCCTCCTCCTGAAAAGGCTATACCAATGTAAACGGGGACAAAAAGCAGCTGCGAAGTTTACTGCTTACGCTGAAGCTAACAAAATAAATTTTAAAAAGAGATGGAACAGGAACGAAGGAGTAGCCTTGGAAATTGTTTTTGCGGGTGGACAACAACCAGAGTTTCAAAGGTCTAAGGAAAGAGAGAAACAGGTCTGAGAATAGAGAAAATAAAACTTTTTCTGAGAGCCCGAATGTCACGGGTTTGTCTGACGGGGGCGGAACGGGGCTTGTCAGAAGCAAGACACGGAAGAGGTTTGTAGATGGCTAGAAAAGGGAAGGAGCTGAGAACCAAGGGCTACAAGCATCTTACTTTTCCAGAATTGTCATCACATGTGGAGTATCTACACTGGGGAAGCAGCTGGGGGACGCTAGGGCCCAGAGTGCTGGTGCCAGTAATGTGACTCACTCACCTTTCCCATTCCGAGGCAGTGGTGAAGTCCGTGATCTCAAATACCTCGGACTCGGGCTGCGGAAAGGGGAAACACAGAAAGAAAGAGATTCAGCCCGGGGGCGCTGAGTCGGAGGAGACGAACATGCATAGAGGTAGAGGTACGGATATGCAGAGAGCAAACATCTCACCTCACTGTCGGCCGCCATCTTGAGGAGCGACGGGAGGATGCTAGGGCTGCCGGGAAGGAGAGCGGAAGAGCAAGGGGAGGGGTAGGGCGGGGAAAGGCTGGCTCGGGGGCGGGGCCTCCGCGTAGACCCGCCAGTTATTAAGTCATGGTTGCGAAAGTTGTGTTAGGTTGAGGATACAAGGTTAAATAAAATAAATAAAAATACTCCTCTTCGTTTTGCCAGTCAGGAAGAACTTTAGTTGGCCCTCAACTCCCCCTCGTCTAGCTGGTTTAATACAATTTGACATTTTCCTGTAGAGAAATGAATTGGGGCTGGGAATAGAAGGGAGGTAGGACAAGACCCTAGACTCTTGTCGGGCAAGACTGTATTCAAAAACCTACCACGTTGGGTTTGTTTTCATTCAACGCCTACTTATTGATTGCAAGGCAATGAGCTAAGTGCCCTAATACCACGCCATCCACACTCATGCTCAAAGAATTTACACAGTTTGATCTTGAAATAGAATGATCATACTACTCATCTAGTTACTGGGAAGAGCAAACACACGTCAGTGAGCGCTTCAATTTTTAAGCCATTGAGGAACAGAGGGGTCGCCAGTAACAGTTAATAATTGTATCTCATCCATACCGAAATATTTACGGATGAAATGGTACCATGCCAGGGGTTTGCTTCAAAATAATGGGAGAGAGGAAGTGAGTGGGGTTAGGAATGAAGCAAAATTAGCTATGAGTGGATAATTGCTTTTGCCCAGTGATGGGTACATGGGTATTTATTATACGGAGCCCTGGTGGCACAGTAGTTAAACGTTCAACTGCTAACCAAAAGGTCGGCAGTTCGAATCCACCAGCTGCTCCTTGGAAACCATATGGGGCGGTTCTGCTCTGTCCTGTAGGGTCGCTATGAGTCAGAATCGACTCCACGGCAACGTTTTTTTTTTTTTTTTTTTTTAATTCTTCTTTTATTTAGGTTTGAAAATTTTCATAATTAAAAATTTAAAATTAAATCTCATTTTGCAAACCCCAAGAGGGAATTTGGAGTTGGAGGACTAGGAAATGCAGCTTCAGCAATAAAAATACTTGATTTTAAAATAAGGGTGGAGCTATAAGAAATTTGTTATGTAGATAGAGCAGATGGGGAAATGAAAGATTAGATAGAAGAATTTTGACCACAGATAGCTATTGTCAGTGTAAAGTCTTGAATCCCTGATCCTTGATGCTCCTTCTGCTTTCAGTGCACTGCATTAGTGAGGTGCTGCGAGTTATTACTGTACCAACATTTCCTAAGAGTGCTTAGCTTGTACCTTCATTCATTCGTAAGCATTTATTAAGCATCTACTATAATCTGAGAAGCTAGACTGTATGAAGAAGAACAGGGCATCCGGATTGGAGGAAGACTCTTAACAACCTGTGTTATGCAGATGACACAACCTTGCTTGCTGAATTGAAGAGGACTTGAAGCACTTACTGCTGCAGATCAAAGACCACAGCCTTTAGTATGGATTACACCTCAACATAAAGAAAACAAAAATCCTCCCAACTGGACTGATAAGTAACAGCATGATAAACAGAGAGAAGAATGAAGTTCTCGAGGATTTCATTTTACTTGGATCCACAATCAACACCCATGTAAGCAGCAGCCAAGAAATCAAAAGACACATTGCATTGGGCAAATATGCTGCAAAAGACCTCTTTAAAGTGTTGAAAAGCGAAGATGTCACCTTGAGGACTAAGGTGTGCCTGACCCAAGCCTTGGTGTTCTCAATCGCCTCATGTGCATGTGAAAGCTGGACAATGAATAAGGAAGACCAAAGAAGAATTGATGCCTTTGAATTGTGGTGTTGGCGAAGAATATTGAATATACCATGGACTGTCAAAAGAAGGAACATATTGGTCTTGGAAGAAGTACAGCCAGAATGCTCATTAGAAGCAAGGATGGCAAGACTGCGTCTCACATACTTTGGACATGTTATCAGAAGGGATCAGTCCCTGGAGAAGGACAGCATGGTTGGTTAAGTGAAGGGTCAGTGAAAAAGAGGAAGACCCTCAATGAGATGGATTGACACAGTGGCTGCAACAATGGGCTCAAGCTAGCAACGGTTGTGAGGATGGCATAGGACCGGGCAGTGTTTCCTTCTGTTGTACATAGGGTCGCTATGAGTCTGAGCCAGCTCAACGGCACCTAACAACACAACAACATAAACCAGTTGGGTGGTGCAAACAGTTAATGTGCTTGGCTTCTAACCAAAAGGTTGGCAGAGACACCTCAGAAGAAAGGCTTGGTGATCTACTTATGAAAAATCACCCATTGAAAACCCTATTGAGTACAGTTGTACTCTGACACACAGAAGGTCATCATGAGTCAGAATTGACTTGATGGCAACTGGTAAGCGATTCAGTATGGTAGGCTCTAGGGATATGAATGTATACTGTAGAAATTGCCCCCGATGTCAAAGAACTTAGATTCTAGTAAAGAAACTGGAAATTTTCTACACTAACAGAAAGGAGAGGAGCTACATGTGTCAGCTTCACTATGAAAATACCTTTACATTGACTTTATATAAGAAACAAATGCAAAAGGATGATAATGCTGGGCCTTAATCTGAGAAAAACTCCATTTATTCATTTATTCCACAAATATTTATGGAGTAAATTCTATGTGGCAGGCACTCCAAAAGGCAAAGGCTGTATAGAAAAAGACCTTCCCACCCTCAAGCTTACAGTAAGCCAATAAACAAGAAATCAAACAAGCAGATAATTATAGGATGGGATCATCATAAAGGCGAAGAACAGGTCAATGGTTGCAATAGAGAATGAAAAGGAGAGGAGGTCCACTCTAGAGCAGGTGGTCAGGGAAGAATTCTCTAAGAAGGGGACATTTGGGCTAAGATTCAATCACCTATTCAGCATACATTTTGTATTATTGATTAATTGGATCTACTGAGTTCCTACAATGTCCCAGAAGCTAGTCTTAAAAAAAAAAAAAAAAACTGTTGCCACTGAGTCAATTCCAACTTATAGTGATGCAATAGCACAGAGTAGAGCTGCTCTACAGGGTTTCCAAGGCTGTAAGTCTTCTCCCACAGAGTGGCTGGTGCGTTCAAACCGCCAGTCTTTCAGTTGGCAGCCAAGCTGCTTACCCACTGTGCAACCAGGGCTCCTTACACACTAGTCTAGACACTAGGAATACTGCAGTGAAAAAACAAAATTACTGCCCTCATGGAGCTTACATTCTAGTGATGTCTTAGGCTGGGTTCTGTAGAGAAGCAAAACCAGTAAGGCGTACAAATATCTATATTGTTGTTGTGTTGTTAGGTGCTGTTGAGTTGGTTCCAACTCATAACAACCCTATGTACAACAGAATGAAACACTGCCCGGTCCTGCACCATCCTCCTGATTATTGTTATGCTTGAGCCTGTTGTTGCAACCGCTGAGTCAATCCATCTCGTTGAGAGTCTTCCTCTTTTTCGCTGACCTTCTACTTCACCAAGCATGATGTCCTTTTCCAGGGACTGATCCCTCCTGATAACATGTCCAAGGTGCATGAGACGAAGTCCTGCCATCCTTTCTTCTAAGGAGCATTCTGGCTGTACTTCTTCCAAGACAGATTTGTTTGTACTTCTGGCAGTCCATCGTATATTCAGTATTCTTCACCAACACCATAATTCAAAGGCATCAGTTCTTCAGTCCTCCTTATTCATTGTCCAGCTTTTGTGAGGCAATTGAAAACACCATGGGCTGGGTCAGGTGTACCTTAGTCCTCAAAGTGATATCTTTGCTTTTTAACACTTTAAAGAGGTCTTTTGCAGCAGATTTGCCCAATGCAATGCGTGGTTTGATTTCTTGACTGATTTATATCAAGGAAACAGCTTGCAGAATTGTAGAGGCTGGAATTTCCCAAGTCCGTGGGTCAGGCTGGAGGCATCTCCTGATTCACATAGCCACAGGGGCTGGCAAACCCAAGATCAGCAGGACAGACAGCAGGGCTCTTGCTCACAGGATGTGAAAACTGACAAACCCAAAGATTGGCAGGAAAGATACCAGGTAAGCTGCTAGCTCAAGTCCCAAGAACCAGAGGTCAGATGAACAGGAGCCAGCTGCAGGATCCAGTGGGAGCAAAAGCCTGCAATCTTTGCCAGAGAGTTCACCTATGTTTGATGCAGACCACATCTCCAATAAACTCCCTTTTGACTGATTGGCTACTCACAGCAGATCCAATTATGGAGATGATCACATTATATCAAATCTTATCATGTAAGTGACCACATCATCATACAACTGCCAAACTATATCACAAGTAAACCCTTCACAAGGTCAGTTAATCTAATTTCTATCACAGACTTTCTGGGGACAAACTATGTACATAAATATCTTTTCAGGGAACATTATCATTATTCCCTTCCTGGAACATTCTTATCATTTGCTTAACCATAAGCTATAATTTTGTCATACATCAGTTATACGTTTCTTTCTGGGAACAAAACATTTTTATCATAGTAAATATGATGTTGCAGATTGAATTATGTTCCCCCAAAATGTGTATCAACTTGGCTAGGCCATGATTCCCAGTATTGTGTAACTGTCCACCATTTTGCCATCTGATGTGATTTTCCTATGTGTTGTAAATCCTACTGCTATGATGTTAATGAGGCAGGATTAGAGGCAGTTATGTTAACGAGGCAGGACTCAATCTATAATATTAGGTTGTATCTTAAGTAAATCTCTTTTGAGATACAAAAGAGAGAAGTGAACAGAGAGTCAGGGGGACCTCATACCACCAAGAAACAAGAGCCAGGAAAATAGCATGTTCTTTGGATCCAGAGGGAACCCTGGTGGCATAGCGATTAAGTGCTATGGCTGTTAACCAACAGGTTGACAGTTCAAATCCACCAGATGCTCCTTGGAAACTCTATGGGGCAGTTCTACTCTGTCCTATAGGGTCACTATGAGTCAGAATCAACTCGACGGCAACAGGTTTTTTTGGGTTTTGGATCCGGGGTCCCTGCGCTGACAAGCTCCTTGAGTGGGGAAGTATGATGACAAGGAACTTCCCTGAGA